CGGAATTAAGGAACTTACAAGACTGTAAGAGCCGACAATCCTCCGAATGTGTTTGCATCTATCTTTGTAATGTTATTGTTCTCCAAATCCCTGGAAATAATATTTTTAGAATTCATTTTTGCATAACATTAATTTTGTAGAAATCATAGAAAACTGGTAGTGTTGTACGTAGAGCTGTTTAAAAACAGATTTACTTATTGCATTGCATACATGACATAATGACAGTGCTTTTAAGCTTAATACTTTAAGTTGGAGAAAAACATTTTTCAAGGTCTACTCTTAAACCTAAACACTCTTGTCCTCAGACCCTTTTACAGCATTGTGACAATATTTTACAGCAGCTAGGTCAATACAACTGTTTGCAGACATTAGGAAAATCAGTCATCAATTTTCAATTCAGTTACCTAAAATATTGAAAACAACACGTTTAATAATTTCATGCGTCCGAACCGCTTTTCTGGATTTACCTTCATCAGGAACGCTCAAAGCCAAACATTTGAAATCCGAGGATGTATAAGTACCGAAACAGTTGAAGAGCCATATGACAAAAATACCTAAAACAAATAGCCAAATTCATCTAAGGTCAACTTTGCCTGAGGGAGTTGAAACCTTAGTTTCTTTATAATTTCAAAATTTATAAACGGACAATTTTAAAAAGGTTTGTTATAAATCATGTCAGTACCGAAGTACTGACTACTGAGCTGATGATACCCTCGGGGACTGATAGTCCACCAGCAGAGGTATCGACCCAGTGATGTAAAAAATTGAAAACATCACGTTTAATAATTTCATGCGTCCGAAGCGCTTTTCTGGATTTACCTTCATCAGGAACGCTCAAAGCCAAACATTTGAAATCCGATGATGTATAAGTACCGAAACAGTTGAAGAGGTATATGACAAAAATACCTAAAACAAATAGCCCAATTCATCTAAACTCAACTTTGCCTAAGTTGTCCCTGTGTAGTCCATACAATCCTTTATGTTTATATTATATTTTGCGCAATATTTTTTTTTTGTTATTGAACAATCACAGGATTTTTGTAGAATGTTTTGTATAATACCACAGTAATCCATCAACACAAACTGTCAATCCCCATTCAAAATAGGAAAATATTTTATTGTATCATACACATTCGTTTACCTTAATGGAATGTTCTTACTTATAACTAACCCTAACACTAACCCTTTTCAAACACTAGCCATAATACTAACACTGGCTCGGAAAACATATCCTAAACTGAAACAAACTGTACCATTTACATGTGAACAATAACAAATACATGGTACTCCTAAGTAGACCGTGTCAATGGTACTGATATATGTGTTTGATACAATCCCATCGTCACTGTTTTGTTATACCGTGTGCTTAACTGGTTTATGTTAAAGTGTTCGTATCTTTACTGTCTGCTCTTAAACGTCAACATTTGTTTTCAAAACGGAGTTCGGTATATTTTGATTTTTTACTTTTTGATATGCATTCATTAACGGTAATGTTTTATCAAAATTCAGTAAAAATTTCACAGTCAAGAACAGGACATAATCGGTAAAAATACGGATAATTCGACTGTTCTAGTATATACATATAACGATGTAAAACTTCAGATAATTTGAAATGGAACGATTAGTCGTATGCTTTTATCCATATAAATACAAAATGATTTACGTTTAAGAAAGGGGCCCATGTGAACTTAATACCAAATTAATATAACACGAAGTTTGACATTTGTAGAAAGGTTGCAATTGACCTTTTTTTTTTAAATTCAACATGAATAAATTAATACTAGAAGATGTATGATATAATGCAGTAGCAAACCAGCAGCACATGGCAGCATTTTTGTTCTTCTTTGCGAAATTAAGTTACTTACAAGACTGTAAGAGCCGACAATCCTCCGAATGTGTTTGCATCTATCTTTGTAATGTTATTGTTCTCCAAATCCCTGGAAATAATATTTTTAGAATTCATTTTTGCATAACATTAATTTTGTAGAAATCATAGAAAACTGGTAGTGTTGTACGTAGAGCTGTTTAAAAACAGATTTACTTATTGCATTGCATACATGACATAATGACAGTGTTTTTAAGCTTAATACTTTAAGTTGGAGAAAAACATTTTTCAAGGTCTACTCTTAAACCTAAACACTCTTGTCCTCAGACCCTTTTACAGCATTGTGACAATATTTTACAGCAGCTAGGTCAATACAACTGTTTGCAGACATTAGGAAAATCAGTCATCAATTTTCAATTCAGTTACCTAAAATATTGAAAACAACACGTTTAATAATTTCATGCGTCCGAACCGCTTTTCTGGATTTACCTTCATCAGGAACGCTCAAAGCCAAACATTTGAAATCCGAGGATGTATAAGTACCGAAACAGTTGAAGAGCCATATGACAAAAATACCTAAAACAAATAGCCAAATTCATCTAAGGTCAACTTTGCCTGAGGGAGTTGAAACCTTAGTTTCTTTATAATTTCAAAATTTATAAACGGACAATTTTAAAAAGGTTTGTTATAAATCATGTCAGTACCGAAGTACTGACTACTGAGCTGATGATACCCTCGGGGACTGATAGTCCACCAGCAGAGGTATCGACCCAGTGATGTAAAAAATTGAAAACATCACGTTTAATAATTTCATGCGTCCGAAGCGCTTTTCTGGATTTACCTTCATCAGGAACGCTCAAAGCCAAACATTTGAAATCCGATGATGTATAAGTACCGAAACAGTTGAAGAGCTATATGACAAAAATACCTAAAACAAATAGCCCAATTCATCTAAGGTCAACTTTGCCTATGTTGTCCCTATGTAGTCCATACAATCCCTTATGTTTATATTATATTTTGCGCAATATTTTTTTTTTGTTATTGAACAATCACAGGATTTTTGTAGAATGTTTTGTATAATACCACAGTAATCCATCAACACAAACTGTCAATCCCCATTCAAAATAGGAAAATATTTTATTGTATCATACACATTCGTTTACCTTAATGGAATGTTCTTACTTATAACTAACCCTATCACTTACCCTTTTCAAACACTAGCCATAATACTAACACTGGCTCGGAAAACATATCCTAAACTGAAACAAACTGTACCATTTACATGTGAACAATAACAAATACATGGTACTCCTAAGTAGACCGTGTCAATGGTACTGATATATGTGTTTGATACAATCCCATCGTCACTGTTTTGTTATACCGTGTGCTTAACTGGTTTATGTTAAAGTGTTCGTATCTTTACTGTCTGCTCTTAAACGTCAACATTTGTTTTCAAAACGGAGTTCGGTATTTTTTGATTTTTTACTTTTTGATATGTATTCATTAACGGTAATGTTTTATCAAAATTCATTAAAAATTTCACAGTCAAGAACAGGACATAATCGGTAAAAATACGGATAATTCGACTGTTCTAGTATATACATATAAAGATGTAGAACTTCAGATAATTTGAAATGTAACGATTAGTCGTATGCTTTTATCCATATAAATACAAATGATTTACGTTTAAGAAAGGGGCCCATGTGAACTTAACACCAAATTAATATAACACGAAGTTTGACATTTGAAGAAAGGTTGCAATTGACCTTTTTTTTTTTAAATTCAACATGAATAAATTAATACTAGAAGATGTATGATATAATGCAGTAGCAAACCAGCAGCACATGGCAGCATTTGTGTTCTTCTTTGCGGAATTAAGTTACTTACAAGACTTTAAGCGCCAAAAATCCTCCGAATGTGTTTACATCTATTTTTGTAATGTTATTGTTCTCCAAATCCCTGGAAATGATATTTTTAGAATTCATTTTTGCATAACATTAATTTTGTAGAAATCATAAAAAACTGATAGTGTTGTACGTAGAGCTGTTTGAAAACAGATTTACTTATTGCATTGCATACATGACATAATGACAGTGCTTAAAAGCTTAATACTTTAAGTTGGAGAATAACATTTTTCAAGGTCTACTCTTAAACCTAAACGCTCTTGTCCTCAGATCCTTTTACAGCATTGTGACAATATTTTACAGCAGCTAGGTCAATACAACTGTTTGCAGACATTAGGAAAATCAGTCATCAATTTTCAATTCAGTTACCTAAGTTGTCCCTGTGAAGTCCATACAATCCTTGGTGCTTATAATATATTTTGCGCAATATTTCTCGTTATTGAACAATCACAGGACTTTTGTGGGATGTTTTGTATAATACCAACACAAACTGTCAATCCCCATTCAAAATATGAAAAAAATTATTGTATCATACACATTCGTTTACCTTAATGGAATGATCTTACTTATAATTTGTCCTAACACTAACCCTTTTCAAACACTAGCCATAATACTAACACTGGCTCGGAAACCTTATCCTTAACTAAAAAAAAACTGAAACAATTTACATGTGAACAATAACACTAAAATACATGGTACTCCTAAGTAGACCGTGTCAATGGTAATGATATATGTTTTTGATACAATCCCATAGTCACTGTTTTGTTATACCGTGTGCTTAACTGGTTTATGTTAAAGTGTTCGTATCTTTAATGTCTACTCTTAAACGTCAACATTTGTTTTCAAAACGGAGTTCGGTATTTTTTGATTTTTCACTTTTTGGTATGCATACATCAACAGTCATGTTTATCAAAATTCAGTAAAAATTTCACCGTCAAGAACAGGACATAATCGGTAAAAATAGATAGTTCGAATGTTCTAGTATATACATATAAAGATGTAGGACTTAAGATAATTTGAAATGTATCGATTAGTCGTATGCTTTTTCTATAGAAATACAAAATGATTTACGTTTAAGAAAGGGGCCATGTGAACTTACCACCAAATTAATATAACACGAATTTTGACATTTGTAGAAAGGTTGCAATTGACCTTTTTTTTTAAATTCAACATGAATAAATTAATACTAGAAGATGTATGATATAATGCAATAGCAAACCAACAGCACATGGCAGCATTTGTGTTCTTCTTTGCGGAATTGAGTTACTTACAAGACTGTAAGCGCCGACAATCCTTCGAATGTGTTTGCATCTATCTTTGTAATGATATTGTTCTTCAAATCCCTGAAGATGATATTTTAAAAATTCATTTTTGCATAACATTAATTTTGTAGAAATCATAGACAACTAGCAGTGGAGTACGTAGAGATATTTGAATACTGATTTGATTATTGCATGCATATATGACATAATTTTAATTGTTGTTAAGCTTAATACTTTACATTGGAGAATAACATTTTCAAGGTCTACTCTTAAATGACAAAACTCTTTTACATCATTACGTTATAACCATATTTTACAGACAGCTAGGTTGAAACAAATGTTAGAGGACTGTAAGTAGGATCTTCTGATACCCTTCTGCAATCATGTCAATATTAATTGGCAACAGGGTAACGATAGATGGAAATGTGTGCAAGTAGTATAAAGTCACCAACGAATGCAGGCTGAGATTTTTAATCACGAATTGCAATTCAGTTATCCATATTTCTTAACTCATATAATGAATTTTGTACAATGGTTTCTTTGGTGTTTTTTATAGAAAATAATAGTTGTGGAAGTAATATTGGTCTAAATCCTTCCTTATTAAGTGGTAAAGAACGATAATTCAACAAAGGGTACCATTTAGAGTTTTGATTGAACAATTTCATGTTAGTTTCATAATACTTACAGATTCGATTGCAGTCAGGATTTTAAAGTATTATATCGATATTTGTTGTTACATTAACTGTGATTCCAGTTAATAATCTTAACAATTTAACAATCTTAAAGCGATTCACAAGAAAATAGTTCATTGTACAGTGTTTCAATGTAAATGTTAATTACTTATCAAAGATTGATAATAATATTCGTTCATATTCTCTTAAGAAAGGATTTATATGGCTTTGATTATGATTTAGTCATCCGTGATCAAGTTAACTATCTTGTCATCAAACGAAACAGACAACTTCCGTAAAAAAACTTCAGATGACTTGATGTTATCTTTTCAATTCATTTACATACATTCAAATGTACGGATTATTATTTTTTCATAAACATGGTATACCTTAACCTTATACCAAACTAAAGTAACACACAAATTATTTTATTTGTAGTAAAATCTCGTTAAACATTAAGAATAAGAAATTAAACGAAATAAACAAAGGCATCAGTATTTTAAATCTATTCTATCAGAGGTTTACTGATGTTGCAATATCATAAACCTATTAAGTATACAATTTGAGGTAAGAAACAAACACTGAGGGATTGTATGAAATTCAAAAGGAGAAAAATCTGGTGCGTATACAGTAGACCACATGAAATGAACAAATACAGAACTCCAAGATAATTTCAAAAAGAGGGACCGAATGGAAAAACAACTGTCACTTTAATGAAATTTATCATAATAAGTAGTTTCTGCCCGAGGAATAGATCACCTAAACTGTATTTGGCAAAACCTTTCGGAGTTTTGGGGTCCTCATTGCATTTTAACTTCGTACTTTTTTTAGCCTGTTTACGTTTGTATTCTTCGAGTGTCACTGATCAGTATTTTGTAGACAAAACGATCGTCTGGCGTACATAATTTTAATTCTGGCAATTGTATGAGCAACCTTCACAGACATAATTGGTAATTGCGACAATAATTGGGTTGTGTCAACACAATTGACTTAAACAAATTCAAATAAACTTAAAAACAAATCTGAAAAGTACGACAACAAAAACTGTTGGAAGTAGGTAAGCGTCTCTTACTATGCATTTCCAAACAGTTATGTTAATTCACTTTGAGTCAATATTTCAAAATTGGCAACAGAACACAATTGATAAAAATACGGATAATTTGACTGTTCTAGTACATGAATATAAAGATCTAGGACTGCGAAAAACATATTTTAAGAGAATTAAGAAAAAGCATATGTGTGTCAGTCAATCAATTCGTGATGGTAACCGTGGAACTTGTGAGGGTCGATTTCATTAGTTCCTGATAACTCTTTTGGGGCAGATTTTTTGTAAAGCGTTTGAAAGAATATGCATCTAAGGGTGGTTAATTGGTTGCTGTTTAGTATTATAAACAGAATATATTTTTGAAATGTAATGATTCGTCGTATCTTTTTCAAAATAAAAAAGGATTTACCTTTACGAAAGCGTCAAATGTGAACTAAACATCAAATTAACATAACACGAATTTCGACATTTATATAACAACATATATTTACAAACAACGGTATATTGCTGGGTCTTCCAAGTGCCCCACGAAACCTCTTTCTAAATTATTAACATCTATTATCAGCAATCAAAGCCGGGCTCAAAAGTTATTGCGAAACTGCCTATTCTGGAGGTGGCGTGAATCAGATGTGGATACTAAAAAATTCCAAAGATCTTTTAGAGTACATACAATCTAAGACTCTCTCATCTTGCAATAGTATTAAAACATTTGACTTTTCTACACTTTACACAAGTATTCCCCATTCTAAACTAAAAGACAAATTGAAAGAGTTGGTATTACTTTGTTTCATTAAAAAGAATGGAGAACGTAGATACAAGTATCTTGTCTTGGGGAGGGATAAATCCTACTTTCTAAAGAATCATTCTGATTCAAACAAAAAATTCTCTGAAACTGACAATATCAAGATGCTTGATTTCTTGATTGACAACATATTTGTTACGTTTGGAGGACGCGTTTTTCAACAGACTGTCGGAATTCCAATGGGAACCATTTGTGCTCCTCTTCTTGTCGACTTGTTTCTTTATTATTATGAGGCTGACTTCATACAGGAACTTCTTAGGAAGAAGGATAAGAAATTAGCAATATCATTTAACTCTACGTTCCGCTGTATAGATGATGTTCTCTCACTAAATAATACAAAATTTGGTGACTATGCTGAACGAATCTATCCCATCGAACTAGAGATAAAAGATACTACAGATACAGTTAAGTCTGCCTCATATCTTGACTTACATCTTGAAATTGACAGTGAGGGTCGGTTGAAAACAAAACTTTACGACAGAAGAGATGATTTCAGCTTCCCAATTGTGAACTTTCCATTTCTATGTAGCAACATTCCAGCAGCGCCTGCATACGGAGTATATATCTCCCAATTGATACGATATTCCCGGGCTTGTGTTTCCAACATGATTTCCTTGATAGAGGATTGCTGCTAACAAGGAAGCTATTAAGCCAAGAGTTCCAAATGGTGAAGTTGAAATCATCCCTTCGTAAATTTTACGGACGCCATCACGAGTTGGTTGACCGTTATGGAATAACCGTTTCACAGATGATATCGGATATGTTCCTTATGTTGTAACTACAATACCCTTCCCTTTTCACGAATATGACTTACCGAATTAGACTATTTACCGGATTTGTAATAACATAAGCAACACGACGGGTGCCACTTGTGGAGCAGGATCTGCCTACACTTTCGGAGCACCTGAGATCACCCCCAGTTTTTTGGTGGGGTTCGTGTTGCTTAGTCTTTAGTTTTCTATGTTGTGTCATCTGTACTATTATTTGTCTGTTTGTCTTTTTATTTTTGGCCATGGCTTTGTCAGTTTGTTTTCGATCTATGAGTTTGACTGTCCCTCTGGTATCTTTCGTCCCTCTTTTATATAAAAGATGCAGTGATTGTTTTTTAAAAGAATAAAGAAATGACTATAGATATTATCTTAACAATAAATAATTAGACATGAATAAATTAATACTAGGAGATTTGTGATATAATGCAATAGAAAACCAGCCGCACATGGCGGCGTTGTTTCTTCTTGGCGGAATTAAGTTACTTACAAGGAACACGAGTTAAGTAAGCACTGAAAATCCGTTAAATAACTTTGCATCTATCCTTGTAATTTTATTGTTCCCCAAACTCAAGAAAATGATATTTTTAAGTCATATTAGCATTACATTAATTTGAAAGAAAAAATAGACGACTGCCAGTTGTGTATGTAGAGCTGTTAAAAACTGATTTAATTATGCCTTACTTACATGACACAATGCTTGTAAGCTTAATATTCTAAGTTGGAGGATAACAATTCTAATATCTGCAAATAATCTTTTAAGCTCTTGTCCTCATACCCTTTTACAGCATTACAAAAGATGAATTTGAAGCTAAACATTTGTGTGTGTAACCATATTTTACAGCAGCTAGGCCAGTAAAAATGTTGGCAGACATTAAGAATATCAGTCATCAATTTTCCATTCAGTTACCAAAGTTGTTCCTGTGAATTCCATACAATCCTTTAAGCGTAAATTATTATTTGCGAAACATTTTTCTTTGTATTTTTCATCAAATGAAAATTGGGTTAAAATGTTATGCCCTTCTCATTCGGTATTTACACACTAAATTGCGCACATTTAAGGGATTTAATTGATTGTCATTTAGGTTGTGTAAAACATTCCAGATTAAACCCCAATCAGAAGTTCATCATAATATATCGATTTAATGTTTTATATAAACTTGGTATACAGTTGTTTACTCATAAAATTCAAATATGTATGACAAAATAAAAGATATTTGTATGAAATTTGTTCCAAACACAATGGTTTTGTTGTTCTGAAAATGATAATTATCAATCGAACATGCATAGCGCCAACTTGTTAGGCGTATTCCTCTCTTTGAATACTGGTCTAAATTATAATACGAATATAATCACTCCTGCTCAAGTTTACTATCTTGTCATAACCTGATGCTGGTTAATCTCTCAATGAATAAAAGTATCCCTTAAGTTATCTTATTAATCAATTACATAAATCATACCTCTCTATTTTTAATTTTTTCAATATGATTAACCTTACACGTTATACGTACAAAATAAATAAAATATTTGTAGGAAAATTACATCGAGACAGAATTGTTTGAAAGCTGGTTAATACATAGTATACATTCTGACAAATTTGTGACATACAATGAATAGTAATTATACGTAAATAGCTTAAATGGTTAGCCTAAAATGAAAACATCTAACAAGCCATTTCTAATACCTATCAAAATCCACGTTGTACCTAGACAGATATACCGCTTTGTAAATAATGAATTTGAAAACAAAAACAGTTATTTTAGTGGCCATATTTTATAACAGCTAGGTCGAAACAA